AAAAATACTTTATAGGTTATGTTGTGTTATTCTGTCATTTCCAGTTGTCTGCCTTCGATTGATTACAAGGTGAAAATGGTGATAATTAAAATTCTTAATTCATTTGTCCACTTTCCCTGTGTCTTTTGGGGGGGGTGTCTATTTATCGCATTTAAACATTTCACTTAGTTGGAATAGAAAACAACCAGAAAAATGGCTTTTCAACATTTCCATTTCTTTCAAAGATATTTATTTATGGTACTGTCTTTACTTCATCTCTTTGTACTCAGCAGTCCATTTAATATGGTTTTTGCTATGTTAAACCATGTCCCTACCATTTTACCGAAACCATTCTTATCAAGGTTATCAGTGAGCTCTATACTTAAATACTTAATGGAGCAGACCTATTTAAGACTGTATTTTGCTCAATAGTTGGATATCTTTGGATACTGTTGATTGCCTCTCTTTGAAATACTTGCCTCTCTTTTCTGTTTTTACTTTTACCTCTTTAACTGCCTTCTCTCAGCCTCAATTGTTAGATTCTGGGGGGGCGGGGGGTGTGTTTTAAGTGTTGGCATTGATGTGCCTGGCTCTGCTTATTTTGCTCTACACATTCTCCCATGGGTCAATCTCAGCCGATGTAACGGCTTCAGTTGTATCACCTCCAAGCTGGTAAGTACCAGTCTTCGTTTTTGTAGGTTGGTTCTCTTCAGAGCTGACTTGTTTGTACAACTTCACACTAGAAATCTCACAGGCACTTTGGAGTTAACATATCTAAAATGGAATGAGTTATACTTTCCTCATCCCCTCACTCGTTTTCTGTTCAACTAAGTTCAGACCCAGAAATCTCTTGAAGTTGTCTTTGACTTTTTAGCTGACTTTTCTCACTTTCCTGCTGCCCATATCTAGTCACCTACACAAAGATTTTCCCCTTAAATAACTTAAATTCATCTAATTCTCTTCATTTACTGCTGCTATGCTAGTACGAATCGCCATCATCTATCTATCCCTTTCATTACTGCAAGCCTCCTATCTGGCCTCTTCCTTTCCAGTCTTTCTGGTCCATTCATTATAGAAGTAAGAATGATTTTTCCTAAAAGCTAATCTAAGGGCTCCCATTATTCCTAGGACAAATTGTAAAGACCTGAGTGTGTTTTGTGATCAAGCCTCCTACCAACCTACTCACCTTCATCCTGAGTCGTCATCCCCTATGTGGTAATACTTGTCACACTTTTCACACTTTAAATTGCCCATTTCTTGGATGACTCTTCCAGTAGACTGTAACTTCTTGAGTGTAAGATGAAGTTATTTTCCTCATTACACATGGTTCCTGGCACATGCATAGTGTTTTATAAATGTTAAATGAGTAAGTTAACGTATGCAGTACACCAACATACATTCAATGGTTTGTCTTGTTTGGTTTTTAGATCATCCTTGTATTCCAGTACTGTTATTCTTGTACATCCATGTGCTTTTTTAGGGGAGAAACAGTCTCTCTATAATTAAATAAGACCTTGTAATGTACATAATATAGTGGATTTTTTTTCCTGATTAAAACAAGGATTTTTGCCATGTTTCTTTTTCACTTTGATTTATATGATTGTCTGTCAGTGGATTACCATTGTTTAAGTTAATACAAGAAACCTGTAGACAATTCAGATAGTCACCACCATCAAGTAATCCTTACCCTACTGTGACCTTTCTCAGAGTGTATGAGACCCTAGATGCTTTAATTTGGTGATAATTAAGGCTTAGAAAGTGAGGCTTACATAATTAGGAGTTTCTAAATACCAAGAGGGATGGTTTTCTGAGTTGTCCATTGTGTTTGGTTCTCCATCTCCTATTTCTTATTCACAGTCATATATCTCTGATTTAGACATAGAGGTAGTGATGTTTTTCAGCTGTCAGTTTGAGCTAGCTGCCCTCCAGGTTGGAAGTATAATTAAAGATCATAAAATAAATCCCTGATTATATTTACTAGAATTGCTCAATATAGAAGGATTTCCATTAAAATGGCAGCTGCCACTGGGAACATCTGGGTACTCACTTTTTCATTCAGAGCTCACATTTTTAAAACCAGGGTTTGCTCTTTCATATTTCCTGGACTAGGTTATTCATCACTATATCCTCAGTGCCTGGAATAGTGCCTGCTGAGGCATGAAAAAAGGTACTAAAGAAGTATTCTCTGTCTCTTCTGTCCATGTTTTGTCTCTTGATAATCAGTGGTCCCACAGGCCCTTCATTAGATGTTAATTTCATTTCCTTTCATTTGGAGGATGATTTTCTGTTTCTTTAAAGTGCCCCTTCCGATTTAATTTTGTAATATCAGTCTGCATTTTAAGTGAGAATATCTCAAATACATTTTCTAAATACAGTAGACATTCTCTCTTATTTTTGTACAATGTGATAAGACTACTTTTTTTTTAATGGGAGATTTGAAGAATAATTCTTTAAGAAAGTTTGATTTTTCTTTTATTTATACTGTGATACTTTTTGGATATTGTATAGAAATTGATTTTATAATGTTATAAGTGTGAAGAAGGGGCTCTGAAATATTAAGTAACATTGTCTAAAAACTAGATTAGAGAATTGGCTTACTGTGTGAGTACCTAAAAACTAGGGCGGTTCATTCCATGTTTTTTGTGTGTTTTTTTTTTAAAGATTTTATTTATTTATTTTTAGAGAGGGAAGGGAGGGAGAAAGAGAGAAACATCAATGTGCAGTTGCTGGGGGCCATGGCCTGCAACCCAGGCATGTGCCCTGACTGGGAATTGAACCTGCGATGCTTTGGTTTGCAGCCCGTGTTCAATCCACTGAGCTACACCACCCAGGGCTTTCATTCCATGTTTTTTTTAAACACGTGATTCTGAAGGATACAAAATGAAGTAAAATAATATTAAATTATTTTTATTTTTATTTTTAACATTGTATTTATTTATTTTTAGAGGGGGGAAGGGAGAAAGAGAGGGAGAGAAACATCAGGGTGTGGTACTTCTTGCATACCCCCACTGGGGACCTGACCCAGAACCCAGGCCTATGCCCTGACTGGGAATCGAACTGGCAACCCTTTGGTTCGCAGGGCTCAATCCACTGAGCAACCACACCAGCCAGGGCTGTTGTTTTTTTTTTTTTTTTAAGATTTCACGTATTCTTGGAGAGGGGAAAGGAGGGAGAGAAACATCAATGTGTGGTTGCCTCCCGTGTGCCCCCTATCGGGCACCTGGCCTGCAACCCAGGCATGTACCCTAGACTGGGAATTGAACCAGTGACTCTTTGGTTTGTAGGCCAGCACTCAATCCACAGAGCCCTAGCAGCCAGGGCTTAAATTATTTCTTGATTTTTTAAAAAAGATGTTATTTATTTATTTTCACAGAGGAAGGGAGGGAGAAAAAGAGAGAAACAGCATGCCCCCAACTGGGGACTTGGCCCGCAACACAGGCATGTACCCTGCCTGTGATCAAACCAGCGACCTCTTGGTTCACAGACCAGCACTCAAGCCACTGAGCCACACCAGCTGGGGCAAATTATTTTTTGATTAAATGTATTAGTTAAGAAATGCATTAGTTAGGCATTACATTACTAGTTTATTTACATTTGTAAATATTGGTTTGACCAAAATGTCTGTATGTTTTTTCGTAAAATTAAAAGACACGTTTTTACTTTTATCAGTTACATGGGTGATTTGGATATTTTGAGTATGTTGGCTATCTCCTTCTATTGGCTCCTAGTAGGTAGAGGGCAAGGGTGTTGCTAAACATCTTCTAAATGCATAAGACAGCCTTACAGCAAAGAATTATTTGGAAAGCCCCTGGTGGGGAGGGAGGTAGCCACAAAGAAGAGAATTATTTGGCCAAAATGTTAAAAGTAACCAAAAAACCTCACAAATCACTTTTGACATGTTCGATCAGTCACAGCACCTTCTCCATACACTGCACAAATCTTTTTTGTGTTTCAATTACCTTTTTACATTTCTTGAAATAATAAAGCATAATATGTTGAAATGTTGTGTATTTTCTTCCATCTTTAATATTTAAATGGCCACATAAAAATTCACCAATTTTGCTCTGGCTGGTGTGGCTTAGTGGATTGAGCATCATCCTGTGAACTGCAAGGTCACTTGCTGGTTCAACTCCCAGTCAGGGCGCATGGCCTGGGTTGTGGGCCAGGTCCCCAGTAGGAGGCGGGTGAGAAGCAAGCACTCAATATTTCTCTTACACATGATCTTTCTCTCCCTTTCTTTCTCACTCCCTTACCTGCTGTCTAAAAATAAATAATAAATAAAATATTGTTTAAAGATTCACTAATTTTGATTTTTTTATGCATGCTGATATGACAGTTATCACAATACAATCTAGCAAAATTGTTTTGAATGAAGTTAAAAGACAACTAAGCACTACTAGAGCCATCTTATGGAAAAAATGTAATAAGCATTTTGGCCAACCCAATATTAGCTATTCTAAGATTATTGGTGACTGATATTTAATCTTGAAGGTTATTTCAGTTATAGTTGTCAACCTTTTGGTTTGTGGACAGTTTCTGAAATCATCTGTCATGCCTATTTCAGATTATACCTTTCTGATAAATTAGAATTGTTATTATCTTTAAAGGGAGTATCATAGTCTTCTTAGAGAGGTTATATGTTAATATTTGAAATTTAATAAGTTAGTATGAGTATATCTGGTGGGTGACATGGTAGGGAGAGGGTAAGTTATTTTATTTTTCCAGTTAAAAATTTTTTTATTTTTCCTTTTTATTGAATTTATGGAGGTGAAACTGGTTAAAGTTATACAGATTGGGAGTGGGGAAATCTAAAAACAGTCCTGTAAACTATTAAAGATAATTTAAAATACATAAAATGATATATATTTTGGTATTGATTTTCATAGTAGATTAATAAATCAGCTAATATTCATATTAGCATCACAATAAATCTCATCTTTGAAAGTGTGTACTACAGTAATAATTTAGAAGTAATTTAAATTCTAAGGGAAAGAAATAATCTTTTCTCTCTTTTTCCTCAGGTGGAATGAATCTTACTTGTTGACTCTCTCCTGGTTACTTGTTGAATTCACTTGTGAAAGAATCATCTTCTCCTGTGTGGAAGCCACTTTGTGGCGTATTTAATTATAAATCCAGGGATCACAGAGCTTTTTGATTTCCCAAAGGAGGGGACATACCACTATATCAAATAAGCTTGACATTACAGCCAAAATGGTGCTGTCCCAGAGACAACGAGATGAACTGTAAGTTTCTAATATTCTCTTATAAAGGACAAAGTAGTAAATTAAAATATAGCCTTGGTAGATCTGTCCTCAAATTAAAACTATTGTTAGGAGTGTTTAGATATTGATGTGGGCAGTTTGGTCTGATTTTAAAACTGGGTCTTACTTTGACATAGCATTACGTACCCTTGTGACCTGTTGTGTATAAGCAAAAAGCAAAACAAACAAATTATTTGGGATAAGTTTTATCTTAAGTTTGTCTTAAATATATTATCACATTCATTTGGAAGATAGGTGCGTCAGAGCACTTCTAAATTATTTTATGTGGATCTATGTATTAGAAAAATGAAAGCTTTTTTGTTATTAACTGCTAAGGCCTTTCCTTTGCCTTACTGTATTTTTTAATCATCCTTTGGCTGTTAGAGAGGATTTGAACTTTTATGCAATAGATAACATAATAGTTAATATGCAAATACATTAATTAGATAGGCATGAAAATGATTTGACCACTGCTATTATAAAGAATTTTATAGCATTCTGTTTTTGTAGGTGAAATATATAGTGGGAAAATTTAGTTTTGTGTTCTGGTCTTTAAAAATTTCCTGTTGTTTTTTTGTTTGTTTGTTTGTTTTTTTAAGAAAACTCTATTTGGAAATAATTTAAAAGTTCTAGATTTGTAAGATAAGTACAAAGAATATATACATATATTAAATTTTATGTAAATTCACCTATTAAGATTTTGTATCATTTTCTTTATCATTTGCACTCTGTAGTTGTATGTACACACAAATATATTTTTCCTAAACCATTTGAAAGTATGTTGCATACATCAAGGACCTTTCTCCCACGTGCTTTTAGTGTGCAGTTCCGAAGAATAAGGATTCTTCTATCAAACCACAGTACAGTTTGCAATTTCAGTAACTTTTTAATATCGAAACAATACTTTTATTTATAAATCTACCTTCTATATTTCAATTTTGTCAGTTGACCCAGTAATGTTCTTTATGGTAATATTTTAATCCTCTCTAGTACACCATCCAGTCCAGGAGTAGGTATTGTATTGTTGTTATAAGTGTCATTTAGTCTGGAACATTTCCTAAACCTTTCTTTGTCTTTTATGGCATTGACATTTTTGAAGCCCCCCTCCTCTTGAATAGAATGTTCCCTGTTTTGCAATGGTCTGATGTTTCCTCATGAGTAGATTCAGTGTATGCATTCTTGGCCAGGATACTGCGTAAGTAATTTTGTGTTCTCAGGAGACCCATAATGTTCATCCACCCCTCAGTGAAGTTAATTTTGATCCCTCAGTGAAGATCCCTGATTTCTCTCCTGTATAGTTACTCTTCCTTTCTTTTTAACAAATAATGGGGGTGACACTTTAAGATCATGCAAACATTCTTATTTCCCACCAATATTCCCCTCGTGCCACGCCCCCCATGGTTGCACAGTAATAATTTTTCAACACTTACTCTTTCTACATTTGCTTATCAGCACTAAGCATTTTACTGTAACCAAGGGACCTTCTTTTTCTCTTTTTTACTTACTTGTCTTTTCATTATTGGTATGAGCTCATAGATTCTCATTTTCAATAGTTTCATCATTCACTGCTATTTTTACTGCTTTGATGTGTGAATTGTTCTAGATTATCCCATAGGAGACAGTTGGCTTTTATATATACCATTATCATTTTTTATGTGCACTTTCTTACTTTCTGTCATAACAATATGTTCCAGGCTTATTGTGTACCAATCTTGCCTTAACCCTAGAATCAGCAGTGCTATATAACAAGCCTTGATTCCCTAAGTGGAGACATCAGGTATTAGACATCAAGATATAAGATACTAAGTGTACTTATTGTTACTGGGTTGTCTTTGCTTCTGGGCCCTTTAAAGAGACAGAACTAGGAAATACAGATATATATAAACACATACAGACACCTGGTATACACGTGTACTAAGGTTTCTCATCTTGGTAGTGTTCACATTTTGGGCTGAATAAGTCTTTGCTATGGGGGCTGTCCTGTACACTTTTGGTTGTTTAGCAACATGCCTGGCCTCTGCGTATTAAATGCCTTAATTAACAGTATTTCTGGATGTTGCCACTGTCCTCTTGGGGGGCAGAATGTCCAGCTGAGAACCACTGATAGATATATACACATATACCCATACTTATTTTAGAAATTACCAGACTATACTGATATTTCTAATTCCTCTAGTTTCTTTCTTTCCTTTTATGGTATTTGTCTCTCTCTTCTTTTAATACACTGAGTCTCAAGTCATTTGTTCAATCTTGTAATACTTCTAAAATAGTTTCAGAATTACGTTCATGCCACTTCAAAAAGAAAAAAGTCCTGCTGGAAAGGGTTTAGAATTTGTATGCAGTTTTCCACTCATGCATCCTGCCCAAGACAATATATAATCAAATACAACAAATCCTCAAATAATGTCATTTGCTTCAGAGGCATCTCATTTTATTACAACATTGATGAAATGCCATAGGACCTTAACTCTTTGTTTTATATCAGTTAGCCTATGGTAAAATTCATCTCATTATCTGTCATTTTATTAAATCTATTATTGATGATGTGAAGTGAGGCCTTACTGTACTGGGCTTGCAAGTTACTTGATTAGCTTTGTTTTGTTTTCCTCTTTGTGTGGTTTAGATTACTTTAAATAAGTTGGGTTTATCTGTCCTAAGTCAATTCAGATCTTTTTCCTAGATGTCTTGTGTCAGCTGACTTCAAGTCATGCTTTTTACTCTCATTTTCAAATGAATAGTTAAACATTATGGCCACAAATAGAGCTTTTTATTTGGACAAAAATTAATTGAGAAAGGTAGAACCTAATTTTAGTGGCTAAGTTTGTAGAGACTTATAGATAAAAATTGACTTAGTGGTACTCAAGCAGAAAATTTGTCTTAACAGATCTAAATGTAAATTTAGGAAATAATTGCAGACTCTTCCAGTTCTTAGTAAGGGAATAAAATGAAGGTTTTTTTCTTTTTTTATTTTTGAAAACAATGGAAACATGATTATGTACCTCTTACAAATAAGATAAATTTTGGCACCTAAATTTGCCCTTTTTTAAAAGATTTTATTTATTTATTTTTAGAGAGAGGAAGAGAAACATTGATGTTAAGAGAGAAACATTGATCAGTTGCCTCTAGCACACCTCTAACCAGGGACCTGGCCTGTAACTGAGCCATGTACCCTGACTGGGAATTGAACCAGCAGACTTTTGTTTTACAGGGTGATACCCAACCGCCTGAGCCACATTGGTCAGGGCTCAGTTTGCCTTTATAATAATTTAGTGGGATTTTTTCCAATATTTTAAAACTTTTTATTTTTCAATTACGGTTGACATACATTATTACATTAGTAATATAATGGTTTCAAGTATACACCCCAGTGATTAGACACTATATAACTTACTGATTGTCCCAATAAATCTCACACCCATCTGACACTGTACATAATTACAATATTATTGACTATATTCTCTATGCTGTACTTTACATTGCCATGACTATTCTAGAACAATCAATTTGTACTTAATCCCTTCACCTTTTTCACCCATTCCCCCAATCCCCACCCCTCCCTATCTGGCAACAATCAACATGTTCTCTATACCTATGAGTCTTTCTGTTCTGCTTGTTCCTTTATTTTATTTTTTGGATTCAGTTATTGATAGATATACATTTAGTGCCACTTTATTCATGTTTTTTATCTTTTCCCTATCTTCTTAACGAAGACCCTTAACATTTCATACAGTACTAGTTTGGTGGTGATGAACTCCTTTAGGCTTTTTTGTCTGGGAAGCTCTTTATCTGTCCTTTGACTCTGAATGATAGCTTTGCTGGACAGAGTAATCTTGGTTATAGGTCTTTGTTTTCCATCACTCTGAATATTTCTTGCTAACCCCTTCAGCCAGCAAAGTTTCTGTTGAGAAATCAGCTGACGGTCTTATGGGAGCTTCCTTTTAGGTAACTAACTGCTTTTCTCTTGGTACTTTTAAAATTCTTTCTTTCTTTCTTTCTTTCTTTCTTTTTTTTTGATTTTTTTTTAGATTTTTATTTATTTATTTATATTAATTTTTAGAGAGGGAAGGGAGGGAGATAGAGAGAGAGAAACATCAATGTGCGGTTGCTGGGGGTTATGGCCTGCAACCCAGGAATGTACCCTGGCTGGGAATCGAACCTGGGACACTTTGGTTCCCAGCCCACGCTCAATCCACTGAGCTACGCCAGCCAGGTAAAATTCTCTTTTTAACATTTTCTGTTTTTTAAAAATCCTCACCTGAGGATATGTGTATTGATTTTAGAGAGAGAGGAGGGAAGAGAGAGAGAAACATTGATGTTTATGCACCCTGACTGGGGATTGAACCCACAACATTTGGGTGTAAGGGATAATGCTCTAACCTACTGAGCAACCTGGTCATGGCTAACCTTTTGCATTTTATGATGTGTCTTGGTGTGGGCCTCTTTGGATTCATCTTGTTTGGGATTCTGTATACTTCCTGGACCTGTATGTCTTTTGCATTAACCAAGTGAGGGAAGTTTTCTATCATTATTTTTTCAAATACGTTTTCACTTTCTTCCACTCTTTCTCCTCCTTCCAGTAATGCCATGATGAGAATGTTGATGTGCTTGACGTTGTCCCAGTGGCTCCTTACACTATCTTCAATTTTTTTATGCTTTTTATTTTTTGATGTTCTGATTGGAGTTTTTGGGATTCCTTATTGTCCAAATTGCTGATTCAATTCTTAGGTTCACCTACTCTACTCTTGATTCCCTGTAAATTATTCTTTATTTGAGTTAGTGTATCCTTCATTTTTTAAAAAAGACTTTTTAAATTTATTTATAGAGAGGGGAAGGGTTTTATTTATTTATTTTTAGAGAGAGGGGAAGGGAGGAAGGAAGAAGGAAAGAAACATCAGTGTGTGGTTGTTTCTCATGTGCCACCTACTGGGGACTTGGCCCTCAACCCAGGCACGTGCCTTAGACTGGGAATTGAACTAGCGTCC